CGAAAAGTGGCCACCTACTGGGCCAGAATGGCAGGCTGCTAGGATCTCTTGCCCTTCGGCCTCACTAACACAGTGTCTAACAACTTGGTCAGCACAGATTTGGAAGAGGTAAGGATCATCCCTAAGTATAAATGAGCCTCCTGCTTCAACTTCTTGCTTAGGTGCGGCAACAACAAGGTAGGTTCAATTTTTTCTACTAAGTTTTTGGCGATGTCTGCGTACCATGACTCTTTCTCCTAGAAAGCATTGATCCTTTCAAAAGGAAATCACTCATTAACCTCACAATTGCCAGACGTTTCTGTTATCTCCATGTCTAATCGTGACAAATGATCAGCAGTTTGATTGGCTGAACCCTTTCAGTCCTTTACCTGCAAGTCAAATTGCTGCAACTATAACACCCAACGTAATAACTGAGGCTTCGCATCATTCTCTTGCAATAGGTATCGCAACGCTGCATGATCGGTGTAAACGATAACTGGAGAAAGAATGATGTAAGACCTAAAATTTTCAAGGGCATAGACAATTGCCAGGAATTCTTTCTCTGTCGTTGTATAACTAAGTTAGGCTCCAGATAAGGTCTTATTAGTGGAGTAGATGGGATGGAAGATTTTGTCTTTTCTTTGACCAATAATTTCTCCCACTACTAAATCGCTAGCATCACACATTAACTCAAATGGTAATTTCCAGTCAGGGGCTACGAGGACTGGAGCTGTAATCAACCTTTCTTTTAAAGTATTAAATGCTTGTAAGTATTCCTTAGTAAAGATAAACTTTACACCTTTTTCTAACAGGGCCGTCAGTGGCTTTGCAATCTTAGCAAAGTCCTTTATAAACCTACGGTAGAATCCACCATGTCCTAAGAAACTTCTAATGGTCTTAACTGAGTTGGGTGGTGGAAGTTTTTCAATAGCCTCAATCTTTGCTCGATCAACTTCCACCCCATTGCTAGAGACTTTGTGCCCTAGCACAATTCCCTCCTTAAGAAAAAACGGGCTATTTTCCCAGCTCAAGGTTAAGTGGGTCTCTTCACATCTTATTAGCACTTTTTCAAGATTACCCAGCCATTCGTCAAATAACTTCCCTGTGATGGAGATATCATCCATAAAGACTTCCATAAAATCCCTGATAAACTTTTCAAAAATTGCAATCATACACCTCATAAATGTGGCTGGGGCATTACAAAGTCCAAAGGACATTCGGCGAAAGGAAAATGTTCCAAAAGGGCAAGTGAATGTGGTTTTCTTCTGGTCTTCTAAATTGACGTGGATTTGGAAATATCCACTCATACCATCTAAGAAACAGTAGTATGCATGACCGGCTAGCTTTTCAATTAGTTGATCAATGAAAAGAAGTAGGAAATGGTCCTACCTAGTGGCATCATTCAGTTTTCTAAAATATATGACCATTCGCCAACCAGTCATAGTTCTGCCAGGAACTAGCTCACCTTTGTCATTTCTAGTCCCTGTCATCCTTCCTTTCTTTGGGAAAACATGAATTGGTGACACCCATTGACTATCCGAAATGTGGTAAATGATACCCGCATCTAAGATTCTTAGGACCTCTTTTTCCACTACCTCCATTAGTTTTGGATTCAACATACATTGTGCCTAGAGACCTAGTTTAAACCCTTCTTTGATTGTAATCTTGTGAGTGCAGCAGGAATGGCTTATCCCTTGGATATCCTCCAACTTCCAAGCAATTGCTTGCTTGTGTTGTCAGAGAACTGCCAAGAGTTTGTCCTTCTAGTTGGGTGTCAAGTCAGCAGCAATAAAAACAAGGCATTGACCCTCTTTATCTAGGAAAACATACTCTAAGTGTGCAGGTAGTGGTTTAAGTTCTAAGGATTTCGACTCCTTAGCTTACTGGGTTCAAGTTGACTACTTACTCCACGTACCTCCTCACACTTAGGCTCTTGGAAGGGTGGCTTCCAAGCTCAGGAGATCCTCAACAGACTCTTTATCTTTAATGATTTTAACTAAGTTACAGAACTTAGTTGAGTCCGGAGTACGGTTCATTACACTCATCATCTTGAATGTTACATCGCCATTCCCTACTCTTAGGGTCAGTTCCCTGTCATGAACATTAATTAATGCCTTAGCAGTGGCAAGGAACGGTCGCCCCCGTAGGAACAGCTTCTCCTTCTCATCCTCCATATCTAATACAACGAAATCAGCAGGGAATGTGAACTTATTCACCCTCACAAGCACGTCTTCAATTACACCCCTCAGGTAACGAATAGAACTATCGGCTAATTGAAGACACATTTGAGTGGGTTTAAGTCTAGTCAGCCCTAATTACTTCATCATAGAGGAAGGCATTAAATTGATGCTCGCTCCGAGGTCTACTAGAGAATCATTAAACGTTTTATCATTAATTGTACAGGGAATAACGAAACAACTTGGGTCCTTGCGCTTTCTCGGAATTTCCTCCGGTAGAAGGGCGGAACATTTGGCATTCAGGCTTACCACTAGAAATTCTTCCATGTCCCTCTTCTTTGTTAAAAGATCCTTCAAGAACTTGCCATATTTTGGAATCTCAGCCAGTACATCCACAAGAGGCATTTTAACATCTACTTGACCAATGACATCGAGAAACTTCTTAAAAGCTTTCTCATCATCACCCTTCTTTACCCTTGTGGGAAAGGGTATACTGTTCTTTGGAGTTGCCTTCTTGGGTGGTTGAGTGTGCTTGAGAGATGCTTCCTACTTTTTCTTTTCCTTTGATGTAGGGTTGTTGGGTTTCTCACGAGAGTTGTTTCGTGCGGTTGCATCGAATGGGACCTCTACTACTGGGCCTAGAAGCTCCATACCACTTCTCAAGGTGACAGCCTGAAGTTGTTCTCTCGGGTTTGGCTGAGTAGTAGCTGGAAGGTTCCCTTGTTCACGGACTCCTAGTTGCTTGAACACTTGCTGGAGTTGATTATCACGCGTCTTGTCACATTATTTTAGATCATCTGCGAGGTTATTCATTTTCTTCATATACTCCATCATTATCTTTTCCATCTTTGCAATGGAATCTTCTTGCTGATTCAGGCGCTGGGAAGGTGGAACATAGTAGCATTGTTGCTCTGATAATTCCCACCTTTGTTATTTTTCCAGTTGTTCTGCTTATAATCGTCTCTGGGGCGATTATTCCTTTGAAAATTATTCCTCTCTCTCCAGTGCTCTTGATTATTGGGCGCCCACGGTCCTTCCCCCTTTGTTTGCATATTGGGCCAGATTAACTTCTTTGGCCTTACTAGGAGGAGGCAAATCATAGATAGGACACTCAGAGGTGAGGTGGTTTTGAAAGCAGAACTCGCAAGAAGGGACGAGGTCAGACTGATGATGATTACCATGTAACACCCCAACCCGCATAACCCGAACCCGTGAGACAGCAGACCGGTGTGCCACTGGATTGGTATCCGAATATACAACATTTTCAAAACAATTTAAAACAAACATTCTATCAATACTTATAAAAATCCATCGGAGTAATTTAAAATAATGCAGAAGCCTATTAAAGTCAAACAACTTGGGATCTTGCCCGAAAACGTAATAAGCATTAAAGTTAATTAAATAAAGCATAACTACAGATTAAAGAGACAGCCATGCCATCGTACATCTCCTCCTCAATGCCCTCCGGGATCGGCTCTAGGTTCATCTATCTGATCACCTACGGACAGCAAAAAGGAAAACAACGCTATCCGCTCAGCATTGACGCTGAGTGGCACTCCATTGTAGCACAAGAATAAACATAATAATTCAATAATTAAGATCGCGCATATGTTTATCCTTTTTAATAAAAATCAATTCAACTTTAAATTCGGTTCTTTAGACGGTTGACCAACGGTCAACCTATTTCCTTTCTTTTCAAAACGATTTAGGTGTTAAGGGTTCCTCATTAACTCTTTGACCACCGGTGAAACCAATTTAGACTTTCACGAAAGTCAAAACACTTAACATTTATTGCCTATGACGGAGATAGCCTCAATCCGTAATACCGAAGATAGCCTCAATTCGGTGGAGGTAGGATCCCTCGGGCGATGGCCTCAAACCCAAGATCACAGACCCTCGTGCGCACGTCTTAACCTCACTGACCAGGCCCTGCAGCCGCCCGAGCAATGGCCAGTTTCTATGTTCGACATATTAAACCAATTGATCCTAATTACTGTTTAGAATTAATTAATTAACTTAATTAATTCATTAAAGTCCTTTGATTTAACCATTAGGTCAAACCTACGTCAACAGAATATCCAGTCAAAGCCTAAGTCAAACAGGACCTAACCCATGTCAAAGTCAAACCTGTTCAGTCAATTCATAATTCTCAACAATTCAATTCGAATAATCAATTTAATTCAATTAACCAATTTAGCCAAATTATAGCATAAACATATATAACGATCCGAACCATTAGATCTATTCTAAACGCTATTAACTTCATAGTACGGACCTGGATTACGTAGAAATCGAATCGATAGCTCGAACGGAAGACAAATCAACGAAATCGAACGAACAACGGGTCAAATTGAGTCAAAACACAGAATCGAACAATTAATCTGGCGTGGAAATTAATCTGCCGGCGGTATCAACCCGGGGCAGCAGCTGGATGCGGCGACGGTGGCAGGCACCGGCGTACAGTGGCGGGGCGGTGATAGCTCGCAGAAATCACGAACAGAGGAGCAGCTCCGGTGATAGCCTCTGTCCGGCGGAGTCCCTAGCTACAACAGCGGCGAACCAGTGATGTATTAGTCCGGTGAGTCGCAGCGACCGCCGGCGAAGGTGGCGACCCGGCGTGGCGCTGCTCCAGAGATCCAATTGCAGAGGAAATTGCGAGGAAGATGGAGATGGGATGAGGGCTAACTTGGAGTGGCAACGTGGTGTTGGGTTGCGCAGCGATTGAGCGAGGTTGGCTGGTGCGGCGAGGAGGCGGAGGTTTGGCTCGCGCGACGCCGGCTTGGTCGAACGGCAGGGGTGAATGAGACGCGTAAGGTCTCCGTTTCGTACACGCGTATAAATGAAATTAGGGTTTTAAGTTTATTTAATGATCCCATTCCTAGAAGGATTGGGCTCCGGACCCAAAATACCTGATTAAACGGCGATAACATGAGCTCCATTACTCCGATTCGCGAGTCGTTTGAACCGACGTGATCACAAAAATATTTCCTACGAGATGACATAAGAGTTGGGCTTAGAATCCAAATTATAATTTTAACCCCTTTTTAGGCCCAATTCGTAATCAATTGCTCTAACGAATTTAATTAATTCTTTTGGGCCAGATTTCGGGGCGTTACATACCAGGAGTATAAGATTCTGTCTGATTCACCGGTTCGGCATGGTGGTTGTTACGAGAGCTGGATGCTCCCAAATGCTCTTTGAGTGTCTGTTTCACAATACTCTCCATATTGGCCTTGAGAGCTGTGAACTGATCAACTTCATACATACCAGCCTTAGGATGAGGACCTCGGTCATCATATCGATACTTAGCATTGGAGGTTAGACGCTCCACTAGCTCTTCATTCTCCTCGGGAGCCATCTCAAGAAAAGACCCGGCCTTAGAGGAATGGTCGAGTTCTTTCTTGGGCGGAACCAACAAGCCTTGGTAGAAATAGAACATTAAACTATCCGCTTCCTTTAGTGCCGGAGGGCACTTAATCTTTAGCTCTTTAAATCGGTCCCACGCTTCACTTAGGGACTCTGATTGGGCTGGGCAGAAGTTTTGGATCGAGTTCTTAATCTTTACAATGGCTGAAGGAGGAAAGTACTCATGCATAAATGCCTGATGGAGTGCCTCCCATGTCTTAAAATGGCCATTGGGAAGCGTATTCAACCATCTTGCTGCCTGATCTCGATGTGAAAAAGGGATCAATGAGAGTTTGATACGATCCATAGATAACCCATTGGTTCTAAAAGTTTCACATGTTCGGGAGAACCACAACATATGTGCTCTTGGATATTCTACTTTTGATCCTCGAAACTAGTTGTTTGATACCATTTGGAACATAGCACGTTTGATCTCAAAGGTATGGCCTTCGTGGGTTCGCCGCCATCTCTTCTTTTCTCTAGCTTTCTTCTTCTTCTTCTGAAGGTCGCTCTTCTTCCTATGAATCCTCTTCTCTATTTCCTTCGTCGATGAACCTCAGTTGAAGTGGAATTCGAGTTGTTCGAAAACGAAATAATATTTCAGGATTATTTTTTCCCGGAAGAATATTATTTCTGCGAGAGCGAGTGTTCATAAGAAGTCATAAAAACTATCCCAGATTATTCAAAATTAAATTAATTCTTTTTATTAAATAGATTTGAAATTAATTTATTTTAATTTACAATTTTTTTTATATTAAGAAGGAAATTCGAAAATTTTTTTTAAAAAAAAATCGACCCTATCAACGTTCACTCAGGTCAGCTTAAAATATTTTACTAGCACCTTTCTACGCCATTCCCCGAAAACGGTGCCATTTGATAAAATGATTTTTGTAGTAAAGGGGGAATCGACTTGACTGTATGTTAGTTTATCCCCGTGTCGTCTCTAGGAACGGCCCAAGGGAAAGTGATAGTAGGATTTTGGCTAAACAAGATTTACTAATTGATTTGGAAAGATCTCAAATATCGAAGCTTTAAAAAGGTGGTGATTTATATAGCAGTTTAAAAGACAGGGATGTAATTCATTGTAACACCCTAATCCATCCAAGTCTGCACCCCTTTCGGACTAAAGTATTAGCTTGGTAACCGTATAATTTAAAACATTTCAAATAACTTTATTCATCATAAATGAAATTCCATACATAACAGTAGAAGATACGGAGTGTTTAATAATAATGCGGAAGCGACTTTTAAACATGTGTCATATTAAACAGAATTATTTATTTTGTCAATAAATCCACCACCACTGTCTCGCCCCTTCCGTTTCCAGGAATATGCCAATCATTCATTCTGTCTACCTGCGTGTAGCAAATAAAACACACTACACGCTCAGCGGTGAAGTTGAGTAAGCATATCTAAAGCGTCAAATTTCCACATAAATTGAATCTCAATTCATAATCAACCATTTGGTATCATGCACACAATATATAATTCAAACATTGATGATATTCTCAATATTTTATTCCAAGTCATTTCATGATAAATACAATATTCAATATCTCAAGAGTGCTCTTAAATTATTCTTAATCTATGGCCAAATCACTTCATAACAAGCTCTTAGCTATTCCTAGTCTAGGGCAATATCTCTAATTAGGTTCTTAAACTATAAACAGTTTAAGGCAGAACACAAGAATCGATAATCCACCCTATGAGTCATGTGGATTATGTACCAACCGAACAGTGATCTATCGGGTGGGTGATATCCGTTCTGGATGCCATACGTACGTTTTAACCCCGAATTATGGGTGATATTCTTAATAATCATCATCAATATACAAGTGGGTATATCTTAGAGTTCTTCTAGATATCCTTAACAATATACACCGTTTTTATGATCACCATTATATTCATTTTTAATCATGATTTAATCATCAATAATCATTCTAATCCGTAAGTTTATCATTCATAATTATCCATAATAATTATTCATCATAATGATCATGCAACATAACATTTAATAACAATGAGCGGCCTAGTCTCGAGTGTTAACACCCGAACTTACCGTCATGCATCACATAATGTTTTATATGCCAAAACATCAATTTTATTGCACAAAATCATATTTATATGTATTGTTCATAGTTAATTGGTATCAAAAATAGGATTTCATAGTTCAAAAATCATGTTTCCTGAGTAATAATTGATTAACGCATGATAGGAAAATCAATTAATAACTACTGGTTTCATTTTCTTCAGCAGGGTAGGGAGATAATCGATTATCACTTCTGATAATCGATTATCTGATGTTCAGAATGGGCTGATAGTCACTTATCACATTCTAATAGTTGATTATTCAACTTCAGAGAAGGCTGACAGTCGATTCACATTCTGACAATCGACTGTTGCCTTGCTGTGTTCCAAAAATCTGCAGAACGATGAATAATCGATTGTTAAATTAATAATCGATTATCCATCGTCTTCTACCTCGACCCAACTTATGGAAATGTCATTTTCACTCACAAACTTCAATTAAAGTATATAAAAGTGCTCTCCAAGGTTCATAGATCATTTTGGCATCATTAATTCATAGTTTTAGCATCAAAATCATGGTTTGTGATTCTTAGTTATTCAAGCATGTCAAAAACAAAACTCAACCAAATGACCATTTATGAACGTAGAAACGACCTATATGAACATTCTAGTCATTAGATATATCTACGGGCTTACCTCGAAGCTTAACGAAGGTTTTAGAAATTTTCCGGTGAAACTTCCAGCGTCGATAAGTCTTAGCTCTGGCGATTCCACACCAAATTGACAGCACCAGTGTGTTCCTCTCACTCAGGGCAGCAGAATAGAAGGAAATATGGAGTGTTTTGGTGAAGAAATGAGGAAGATAGGTTTCCTTATATAATATGAAGAAGAAGAAAGAAGCCAGCCTTGTGAAAGTTCCGTGAATATTTGGTGCAGCTAGTGCACCGTTTGAACAGCAGCGCCGTTTGGAGTGTAGTCCTTGATTGGGACTAATTTCAGTCCCAGTCGGGGTACACTTTTTGATTAAACTTTCTCCGAATTTAAATCTGTTTGCACCATTACGATCAGACAGTTAAACTCTATCCGACGATATAATTTTTATATTTGTTTGTAATACTTTTCCGACATCAATTTTTTGGGTGTTTGAATCTGACAGAGTCAAAATTGATTTTATTGAACTTTACCCAAAAAGGTTCTTACATTCCATTCATATTATTTATTCTCATAATTAATTGTAATAAACCATTTCAAAGTTACATCATAAACACATTATTCATTTATTTTTGATTTTGGGTCTGTACTCAGGTTCCCAATCAAGGTCATACAATAAGCCAACATATTTGATTTATCTTCCAATTATGTTTATTGGATATCAATACATATTTTATTTTGGCCCAAAGCCCAACAATAATTTATTTTAATCAAAACAAATTTGATTAATTGAATAATTAATCATTAATAATTCTAGGGTGTGTTTTGGGGCGTTACATTCATTTTCAGAAAATGGCTATTTATAGACAACTTTTGTTAGTTGGAATAACTTTTATTTAAAAACCTTACTACTAGTGAATAAATATCATTAAAAACCTCATTCAATAATTAACTCTAATTATAGAAATTAATTATTGTTATTATTAAAGGATATGACTTTAATCTTGATCATAATTTCTTAATGAACGGGTTCAAGATTTGATTGATAATTTCTCAATTAATTAATCATAATAAAAATTCACAATAATAACAACTAGTACTTGACTTATAGAAAAATATTATAACATAATAATTTCACCTAAAAATTACCATTACCCTAGTATAAATCATATCCCTAATAAAATTAGTTCTTCATAATAGCAGATCTAAACATACATTCGATCATAGAAGAGAGACATAATTCAATTAATAATTAAAATGAGAAAATGTACTCTTATGCTTTCGCAGAAACGGGAGAACCGTGCTACAACTTGCACTGAGAAAACTCCAAAAAAACTAAACTAAATTATAAAGTGAGAAGAGAGTTCGAAACTCTTGAAAGGGAGGAAGAAAAAGTGAAATCCGAATGGAATGGATGAGGAAAAATGGAAGAAGGCCGCGGCTTATATAGGGTCGGACGCGGAGCGTCCAACCCTACCGTCCAACTTGAAGCGTCCAGATCTAGACGCCATAGATGTCCTGGGCATTCAGCGTCTGTCACGTGTCAGTCTTGGAAAGCAATCCATGTTAAGCGTCCAAGTCGAAGCGTCGAACTTGCAAAGCGTCCATGGGTAAGATGCTTCAGATCCGTTTCTTCGTGGGCTACGCGGCTTGCTTCCATTTTGGGCCTGGTTCTGTTTCCAAATGTCCCCGAACACTGTTTTCGCCTCTCTCGAGCTGCTCTTGATCGTAATTCTCTTCTTGAAGCTTCTTTTTCTCATAAATATGAATTAAAAAATTGAAAATCTAAACTGATTTATTTTAGAACCTATTATTATTCCCATTAGAACAAACCAATAGATATTGTTCGTATTAACATATAATTATGTACTGATTTATTACTATTTTCGTGCAACAACGCTTAAAATATGTTGAGTAAAATAAGAACAAAATGGACTTATCTAGGAACCTCCGGGATTGCAGCCTCACCTCCGTAAGGCGAAGAGGTGTCCTTTGTCAAAGACCGCCCCTCATCGAAGCTCGACTCAATCGCGTCCCGGGAATCTTTAACACTGACATTCGGTGATGTAACTTCCTTACTAGCCTAGCGATGACAAAGAACCTACCAGCTCTCCGAACGACCCTTGATCCTGCGTGAGACGACCAATTAGGGGTCCCACAAACTAAAGGAACAGAAGAAGACATATGAAAGGAGAAGGGGAAGTACCTGAACGACGAGCAATGAGGATCACCGGAAAATGAAACGATTCGCCAAAGAAAGAAACGAGAAGAGAAGAACTTTTAGGAGGAAAAGCGAAAGTTATAAACCCTAGGGGATGGAGCGGCGTTTATAGTGCATAGGTAAGGGATCCGACAGCCATCCAACTAACACGTGGCGGCATAGCGCGTTGGAGACCCAACGGTCGTATCCAGCTGGCACCATCATCACTACCACAGAAACCAAAGCGGCACTTGCCCGCACCAAGCAACGGCATGCGCAGCCGACAAATCTGCAATACAATTCTTTCATTTGGGTATTCAAACTCGGGGGGCTTGTGTTGGGATAAAGGCCCAACATGCACTGGGCCAGAACCGGACGACCTACGAGTATTAGGTTTCCATATGTCCCGACCATCAGCCGGGACGAAGTTGGACTCAGAGCACAATTAAGCAAGCAAGAAAAAAGAAGTAAGAATCATCCTAGCTCAAGCTAGTCACTTCGACCCAACTACCCATTATGACTTTCGTACAACACATTAAATGCGGAGGTGACGCCTGACACACATGCATTCCAACGGCAAGCATGCTACAATGCTGATCACTGTTCACCTATCTTATATTTCTTGCCAATTTTCTGCAAGATCTCTTCCCTATAAATAAGCAATGAAGGGAACGAAAGAAAGGATGACATTCTAGATAAAGAGAGAAATAATAGCATTAGATTAAAGAGTAGCATTGTAATCGGGTTAGAGCCATCGAACCTCCCACTTGTAGCTCCATATCCGAATAATATAAAAAGATACGTTCTTTGGCGTTATATTTCTCTTAGACTTGAGTACCACTCTCACGCCCCTCATACACCCAAGCCAAACTTGAAAGTCAGTTTGGGCGTTTGGGCCCCGAAGACATTAACTCCAACAAGAAGCAATAATAAATATTGATAGAAAATAATATTATTAGCTTTGTTTTATATAATATTTTCAAAATAATGTTCTACATTTAAACAATATAGTTTATAAAATTTATTTAATTATAGGTCAAAAGTTGAAAATAATTGTGTGCAAAAAGTCAAAACTCGACAAATAGCCGAAGCCAGAGAGGGGGAGGGGGGTAGCATGCCTTTTTCTAGAGACCTGCATTAGTGCATGCACCCATATGGAATGGTTGCCAATTGCAAAAGACCACATGTAATTCTTTTGTACAGTGGACCGAACATATGTGGGAAACCCCTGTTCCAAAGGATTTTTCTTGAAAACTACCCTCGACCAAAACACAGAAGCTGATACTATGGACGGAGAACTGCATAAGGCCTACCCACAAAAACAAAAATTCATAGAGGAAAAGCATGTGAAATAAGATCAAGCAGGCAGAGAGATGAGGCGGCACAGGTCCTGAACATTAACTTCCCTCTTAGAGCCCTTTCTTACCAGAGCGCCCCTAGCCAGCTCCCTCTTTTTCTCCTGCAACTCCAGCACTCTCTCTTCAATGGTGTCTTTGGCTATAACCCTCACAATCTTCACATCCCTTTTCTGGCCAATTCTGTGAACCCGGTCCATAGCCTGCTCCTCAGTCGCCGGATTCCACCATGGCTCCAATAGGTACACCACTGACGCGGCCGTAAGGTTTATGCCTAAAGAAATCACCCAAAATATGAGTAAAACACGGCCCTTATCCCAAAACAGGAGTGGCATGTTTTTATCCTCAAAATAAGATAATGCACTGTGACAATATGACAATGTATATTGACATCCCACAAGGTTTTTTAGTGTATCATATGCTGACATTATTGGCATTGTCAATCTTATTTTGAGAATAAAAACATCAAACTCTTATTTTGGTACTTTTTTTTATTCTTTACTCCTACCCTTATACCTGTACCAGAAGCCTTGAGGCTGGCGAGCAAAACTGTCGGCGTATCTGATTTGGAATCACTAAATGCTTCTATCACTTGAGCTCTCTTTTTCGCGCTCATCGTCCCATCTAACCGTAGGGTATTGAACCCTGCGCTTTTCAGTGGTTCTTCAAGCAGCAACAACATCTTGCGGAATTGTGAAAAAACCACGGACTTGACAGCTCCGTTTTTCTCCTTGGACTCGGATAGGAGTTTAAGTAGGACAGACACTTTAGAAGAAAGTTTGAGAGAGGAAACACCCGGCGTGGTCTCTGTGGGTGGGGGTGCTGAGTAGAGATCAGACAGGGACAGGGGACGGCGACACATGGGGCAGTTTTCTTTTGTGCGCTTCAGAGTCCTTGTAATACAGGAACGACAGAATATATGAGCACAGCATGTAATTACCACGTCCGTAGGTGGAGAGATACATATTGGGCAGTCAAAGTCTTCTGCATCTTGCAGCAATGACATCATCTTCTCGAGCAGTTTGGGATTATTGGATACATCTGCAGTGTGTAGGGATACAAAAATAAGATACAGCTACAAGAAGAATCAAGATGCAATATATGGTGCCAAAATTTTCACGCCAGAGGAGTATGTTTCAGAGTTGACATCCATATTCCTCATCAAGTCTATTGTGTGATGCGTTGTAATACTCCCTCCGTCCCTCAAATATCTTCACTCTTCGAACAACGTGCAAAACTCCATGTTTATTAAAATTATTTTATTTACAAATTGGAATAGAAATAGAAAATATAAATTACATATTTCAAAATTACTTCAAAAGTTCTATAAAACAAGATGTGATAAGAATATTTTATTTTATCAAATAATCGATGAAAATACATAAATAAAAAAAAAGTTATCGAAATGCCAAAATAGTTGATGGAACTTTAATTCCACCGAATATATTTCTCATGATCTGCTCAAGAATTACAGAATAATAGAGACGAAATAACAAGACTCAAGAATTGTATGAAAGACCTTCCTTTTATTCATATACCTTGGAGGGGGGGGGGGGGTATTTATAGCCTCTTAAGCTTCCTAGGCGTATTAGACTTCACTTAGGAAACTTAAGTAAACCTCTCCCCAAGTAATTGACCCTAGCTAGACACAGCTCCAATCGTTTAGAGATGCCTCATGACCCAGGCGGGTCAACCCCCCTATAAGCTCATGGATCACCCTAGGGTCTTGGGCTCAATCCGCTAAACTTTATGACTCGGATAAATATATTGGGCCAATTACATCAATATTTAACCCTTGGCCCAATTTACCTATCAATAGTAACAAAGAATAGGGAAGGATGGCGCAATTAATACTTATCAGAACACAACATTTAGCATATGACAGCCCCTCCCCAAAGAAAAAAAACTGTATAGATTGCACTGAAGGTAGGTGGGGTAGCACCTCCAAATAAGTGAAACATAAGAAAAACATAAAGGCTTTATTTGGTACACGGAATTCAACCTATGGAATTGGAATTGCGGATAACAATTCCAATTCTGTTGTTTGGTTGCACAAAAATATATAGATTTGGAATTGGTAGTGCCAAAAATGAATTGGAATTGGAGAAATCAATTCCATCCAAATCAATTCCATAGAATTTCAACTCCCAATTCAATTCCAATTCCGTCAATTCCGTGTACCAAACGGACCCAAACAGTTCAAATAGGATTAAGCCCAAAAGCACAAGCATGGAGAATCATAACCGGTAAAAGTGTAGTTGAACCTCTCAAAAATATTAGGATCCAGAATCATGAATATTTACTTCCCTCCACCCTGATTTAGTTGTCCACTCTTTCTTTTTGAAGCGTCCGAAATTAATTGTCCACTTTCTATTTTTAGTAAATAAACTATTGAGAATTATAAAAACTACCCCTAAATGTTAGGATTGTTGCCATTTTCAGTGGATGATAAACTAACTTCAAGAAAGTGTTTGTTATATTAACATCAATCCTTAAAAATGAAGTACCCCCTGTCCCATTTGGACTTGCACACAGTTTTAGGCAAATAATACTTTTTTTTCATTTTCCAGTTTGCCCCTGCTTTTGAGGTTTTTTCTTCTTCTCCTGAATGCAATCCAAAGGGGCTATGGAGTACTGTAGTATTTTTCAGATCTTGTCTTATTCTTCATCTCTCTGAATCTCTTTTAACTATTTTTCAGACATTATTTTTTTGTTTCTTCTGATCGGTTTTCAGATCTAATGTCCGTCCTCAATCGTATCTGCATCCACAGATCTAAACTTCTTCATAGGTTTGCTAGAACAACCGACTAAAAAAAGGGAAAGTCGACTAAAATGGATCAATTTTTTTAAAAAAGTTGTGCTTTGTAAAGAAATTGGACAAAAACATCTGGTAGGCAGAAGAAGATGGTGAGGAGCTAGCCGGAATCAATGGTGATTGAAAGACCGGGCTTTAGTACTACTATATTATTTCTATTTCATTTTTTAATTTATTTGCGAGGGGGGGGGGGGGATAAAATGCTCAAAGCATCACCACTGCAAAAGGTGTGGCTGCTAATTGATCAGTTTTGTAAGATGGACAAACCTTGAACACTGTCAGCGAAGATCAAGGATTTGATATCATGTGGACATAGTGCAACATCAGTAGAAATCTGGCGAAGCCTCAATATTATGCTGAGGATAGTGGAATAGTTGTGTGTAATATTCCCTCTATTAATATAGTTCTTAACAACCTGTTTCGCTTCTTCTTCCATACGCTCATAAAGATCACGTTCTTCTTGCATAAGTTCCACATAACAAGTCTGAACAGATTTAGATGGCAACCCAATCAAATTCTGATCCTTCATTCTTCTCAATGTGACAGTTGACATCAAGACCTGCGACAAAACCCCCCAAAAAATACAAATACGGTCATGAACAGGATAAATTTTGCATTGACTTGCATAAACTGCACTTATTAATTGGGCCGGTTCTATGGCCGATCTCATCAAGTGGTCACGGAGGGCACTCAACACCTACGGTGCTCCGTTCGCAAAATTGATAATTCCTACCCCTAACCCCGGGTAAACTTCCCCACCCAATCCTGACCCTAACCCATCCCCCGCCCACGCAAATTGCACCCGCAAGATGCAAGTTTAGTTGACTTTGGAGTCAAAAAATTTGACCCCAAAGTTAAATAAACTTGCGGGATGCAATTGACGTGGGTGGGGATGAGTTGGGGTTGTGACTGGGTTGGGGGTTTACTGGGT